TGTTACATTACAGGATGAGATTTAGAAATCTTGTTTCCTCTTTGTGTAAAATAAAGGGCCATTCAGACAAGGGGGAAATCTAAATGTGTTGTGTTTGTGCAATGTCAATTATTTTTCTCCTTGTAGAAAACCATGGAAACAGGAATTCAGGACAGATAATTAATCTTGTTGGTTAGTTATCCACAGCGTGGCTTAGCTTCAGGGCTCCTGGTGTCCTAATGTGGCCCTATTATCTAGATTCCAACCAATGTTCCTGGACCTCATTGCTTAATTGTTCAGTAATTATAGAAAAGTGGTGTTGCACGCGTCATGCCATGAAGTAACTGGCTTCACGTTGGGGTTACTACTTGGATTTGCAGGTCTTTGCATTTTAGTCTTCTATGAAAACGCAACATTTTAAACGCAAAGGCCCTGCATCGTTTAGTGCTGTGAAGTTCATAACTCATTTGTGTTTAAAGATATTGTTATTGCCAAGACATTGTCATCTGGTCTTATTGAAATGTGAAATTTATGTATGAAAATGTAGGCATTTTTTTCATTGCTAGTGCTTGGTAGCAGACTAAACACAATCCAAGTTTATTAAAAACCAAAAAAACAGCAAAGTCAGCAAAGCCCGACAAATAAAATACTTTCGTGTTTTTGCTATTGTGATTTTTTTCTCAATAACAGCGTGCCCTGGTTCCAAGAGATTTTTCCCATAAGGTTTGTTCATCTCAATAACAGTTCGTAAACTTTGTACAATGCAGAATTCACTAGTACTCTGACTGTATTTCAGTTCTGCTGAGGAGGTTGAGAGTCTGTGCACATTGCAAGAAGGTTCATTAACCCGAGCGGTCATCATTCACCCGACAAACAAAAATAAAACATCTGGACACAGTGCTCTCACAGACTGGATTCAAACCAAGGAGAGAGTGGGGATGGGACAGGGGTTTGGACAGATTTTCACTAAAAAGGATATATAGTGTAGTTAAAGACTTCCATTTAGCATTATAAACGTGGAGGAAATTTAGAGTGGGGCATCACAGTGGCACAGAGCTTTGCACTGATGCCTCATAATGCTGGGTGCCTTGATTAAATTGTAGACCTGGGGTGTTATCTGCCCGCAGTTCGTATGTTTTCCCTGTGGTCATGGGGGTGTCCCGGTGCTCCAATTTCCTCCCATAGTCCCAAAACACACGGTTACGGAATATTAATGAGGACCCTATGCAGAATAATCAGGACGGACTTCAGAGGCGTAGTCGATTAAACAGCCCGAGGTCCGAAAGCCGAAGGGATACAAACCGGTGCGAAAGTACAAAATCAGAAGCAGAGCCGTGAGGAAGCCGAGAGTCGAAGCCAGAACAATTGTCAAAGTACCAAAACAAAACCAGGAGACGTAGTCGGAGAACAAACCAGGGTCAGGAAGCCAAAAACCAAGACCTAATTAATCGCAGGAAGACCTAATACTGAGCACAGGGGAGAGTGCGAAGCAGCATTAAATATGCTGGGATAAACGGGCTAATTGGAAACCGTTGGGAATGCGAGGTGGAATGACGAGTCCTCCGGGGGCGTGGCGAAACATAACCCCCCCGACGCCCTAGAGGATCGATTGGACAGACGCCGGGGGAAATCGGTAATCAATTGAGGGTCCAAAATGTCCTTCTCAGGAACCCAGGAGCGCTGCTCGGGTTCGCAGCCCTCCCAATCAACGAGGTATTGAAACTTGCCCCGGACCCAGCGAGAATCCAGGATCGTATTTACAGTGAGAGCTGGGAGCCCATCAATGGTCCGGGGGGGTGGTGGGGGCCGGGGCTGGGGTCTAGAAAGGGGAGATCTGCGGAAAGGCTTGAGAAGGGCATTTTATTAACTGTAAGAAGTATTATTAACTGTAAGTCACTTTGCATGCAGAATACAGCCGAAATATATTTAATCGGGGTTATGATATAGTAACGCTTACGGCCGACAGGTACTGTGTAAGAGCCGGCGTACCAGAGCAGGTGACGTCACCGCCCTTCCCTGTGATAGCAGGACCACAGCTACTGGGCTGTTGAGAGATCTCTCTTTGGCTCACGGGGCTAGGTCGCTGCAGAGAGACGCGGAAGTCCCGGGTTCGAGCCCCGGACGGTGCAGGGGCCGACCTAATGCGGCAAGGGCGCCCGCCTGAGCCCCCGTTGCGTTACAATATATTCTTCTTATCCTCAATGTATCATTTAACGATTGATCTGCAAGTAAGAAAACATAGTATTTAATATGTGCTCTTCTTTGTTAAATACTTCCCTCTAGAGGGTATTATGAGTAGTGTATTTGATTTTCCCTGATAAAGCATTGATAAAAGGAAATAAAAGAAGCCTCTGACTAATGCGCTGAAGTGTTCCCTATTTACAATGCTAATTGTAATAGTAGTAATGCGCTCGTGTGCATTTTGATGACGGATATAATAACACAGAGTAATTTTGTTTTAATCAGCACGGCTTGCACATTGATCAGGTAGCAACAGGCATCACACGTAGTGCTGGTTCCTAGGGGAACTGCTTACTACAATGCGTTCAAGGACCACATGAACCAGATTGACTGATTGCATTTCTGTAGAGCTTTTCATTCCATAGGATCTCAACACACCTTACCTAGGAGGGCTCGTACTTCACCTCGGAAGAGCAGTGGGGTAGGCACAGCAGCCATTATACAGGTGCACCCCCGGCACACATCAGATTAGCCAGGGAAGAAGGACTTTTTCACCTTGTGAATTAAGGAAGAACTTCAGCGAGGCCAGAATGCACAAACCCAGAGAGGTATTTAGCCAGAACAGTGGGGTTTACACCTCCTCTTCACAAAGAGCACCGTGGCATCTTTCATGAACAGAAGGGTTTTGGTCTTGTAACTGGAAGGCTGTGGCAGGTCAGATTCTGCTTTTGTACCCCGGAGCGAGGTCCTTCACCAGAATTAGTTTCAGCAAAACACCCACCTGTATAAATAGGTGCAAATGTAATCCACTTTGGATAAAAGAATCAATCAAATAAATTAGAAATAATGATTATTTCTGTTCCACAATTTGGTACCGTGTAAGACCTTTAGATGTTCCCTTTAGATGGTGACTCAAATAGTCCTGGGAGATGTCCCACGATGAATGGACTCTGTGTGACACAGGTACATATTGACAAAGTGAAATATTTCCTTATTAAGACTATAAAGCTTACATACTGTAACAAACTGACACATGGAGGTTATGTTCAATGAATACAACTCATTATCCTTCTAAATGCTGCTTCTTTTCTCTGAGTTAGTGTGAGGGGGTGGACAGCTTTCCAGCAAGCTGCAAAAATAAAGATATACCCAAAGCCCAGAGGCTCCCAGGTCACAGATAACATAGCAGCATCACATTAGCAAGTCAGTGAATACATGAATACTGTATAAGTACACTTACACCAAAAGAGTAACCTTCTGTAACAACAGCCTTCATTGTCATGAAGCCTGAAGTTCCTATGACTGATGTTTGAAAACCATTTAAAACACCTTAAGCAGAGAGCACCTAGATAGTTTGTTTAACCAGATTTATTTTACAGTGGTACCCCTTCCAAGAGTATTGGAACACCTTTTCAACATCCCATTTATCTTATGGCAGAAACCCTAACCCTCTCCCTAATTTCAAGTGAAATTAAGTGCCGACACAAGCCTTCTTCTTCTTCAACTCTGTAAAAGTCTCACATTTTCTACTCTTATGCCTTGTATTCTTCCTAAAGAACTCAGAGCCAGTGCTTGCATGGGCTGTCCTCTTCAGAGGGGTCTGATATTAATTTTCATTTTCAACAACTGATATATTTCCAGGAAAAAAAAGTGCCATCTGAGGTCTTGTAAAAACACGTGTGTTTATATATAAGCATGTAGGGTGTCCTGAAGTCGCAGTCTGGGTTTGAGGTCAGTGTTGTTAGCTGGGGCAGAGTGCTCCACGTTGTGCTCATCGAGCACAGACTCGGCTGCAGCTGTGCTGCTCGGGGCCAGATGTGTCCAGCATGTTCCTGCAGCAGGGGAGCGCTCAGGAAGGACGGACCGGAGCCCAGAGTCAGCCGGACAGGCCACAGCGCCTCGTGCTCAGCCCTCCCTCTCCTCCTGCCCAGCGGCGCTGCTGAATCACCGCAGGGAGAAGTGCAGGAATCAGGATGCCTGACTTTTCTCGAGCTCTAGCTTTATCTGAGCACATCTTATAACTTTCCCAGAAGCTGCGCATTCAAAATGTCGTCTTTTCAGGGCTTAGAAATCTGACCTACAGTAGAAGCAAATCCACACTTTTATTCCTGAATCAGGAGATATGTGCAAAATGATTAAAATTTAAGAGCAATTCAATTTTACTTGCTCAAATATTTTAGCTGCTTAATTTTTGTGTGCACTCCGGTATAATCCAATAAACCTTTAAATAAGAATATGAGTTATGTTTTATGTAAGATTTTTATTTTTCTTTATCTGCACATTGGAACAGGTGACTTTTCTTTGCATCTATAAGAGATAAGATCATCTTGGGGGGGGTGGGCGGATGGGTGAAGACTTTTAGTTTATCACATTTCTAACCACAGAATGAGGTTTAATTTTGGAATTTGCAGTGTGGTTTCTGTACCTTTCTCACCTGTAGGCAAGCAGCTTTCAGCAGCTTACGTTTAGCCTACATCCTGTTATTCATTTGAAACTTCAAGACAGATTAACAATAAGGCATTATTGCTGCAGACATTATATAAGAGACACTGTACAAAGGAAAAACTCAAGTAAGACTTAAAGGAACACTAAATCCGTAGGGAACAGACTAATATCGCACCGCTTGAATTAATTATACTGCTGTTAAAGCTGTCACACAGTCATTCTGAGAGGTGGCATGCAGCGCTCTGAACAGACGTGTTTTATACTGGCCTTATCATGCAGTTCGTATTCACCTTTAGAAAATGGGCGACAAGCAAAAATGAAGTTGATGGAGCACGTCAGGGCTGCTGTCTTGTTCGCCGAAGAGTTTTCAGAGCTATGGACATTTGTGCAGTGCTGTGACCCTTCTTCTGCCTCCCTCTTTGTGTAGGGGCCTGATTGTCTTGAATGTCAATGACAGCTACTACCTGGAACCAATCAGAGGGCTGGAATCCCACCATCACATCATGCACAGGACGGAGCACGTGCCGGTGGAGGGCGGGACCTGTGGGCAGCACAAACCCCACCATGTGGGCAGCGTGGCCAACCTTGCCAGCCTCGTTCAGCCTTTGCATCAAAGGGTACAGTGCTGAGACAGGTTCCCCAACACAGTGTGCTGGAGTAGGCAGAGCACTACCTTAATGACACGGGTTGGCAACCTCGGGGGTCTTGGAGGGGCTCAACACCCCAGTGGGCATCATTGGAAATGACCTGGAAGTGCATTTAACAGGAGGCACTTCTTCAGGAGGCCAAGGGTGCCAGTGGCATGGAATTAGGTATCCAGCGAAGATGTTGAATCTGGTAGCCTGGCCTCCCAGAAATGTCGGGATGAGATCCCAGATCACTTCCCCGCCATGAGCCAAGCGGCTTGTTCGTAACCTTTTTTTTTTCATGTTCTTAACTCAGCAGGTTTTAGTGGTCACCTTTAAATAACTGGTTACTAAACACTTGGTCAGATGTCATCTTGACCAGTAAAGCACCTTAGACTTAGCAGCTTAGACATCTTTTGTAATGAAAATATGATCACCCTTAGATTTCTCAAAAACCATGGTTGGAGTTTGCCTTAAAAAAAATAAAGACAGCGATCTCAAGGCTCTCTGTGAGACCCACAGCAAGCAGCACGGAGTGGTGTTTAGCAGTCTGTACTCATTCTAACAGTAGAAGCACTTCAGAAGTCCTTTTAACTGGTTTTAGGTTTTATATTAAATTTTTCCAAATACTTTGAGTGGTTGGGCTTATGTATATGTCTGAGTGTGTTCATTAAATATTCAAGTCATGAAACACAGGAGAAAAGAAATAAAGGTGGTAATTTGCACTATAGATAAAAGCACTGGGAGGAGTACAGTTAAAGAAAACAGGGAATACAACTATATTTTAATTATGCAGAAAGGAAACTTACTTTATTACTTTTATTTGCCTGTCTGCAGTATATTCAACTTTAATTAGATTAGTTTCTAGTCTCTGCTTGTAAGATCTGAACACATTTATAGTTTAGATTGCTTAACCTCTAAGAACATGCCAATAAGGAGCTTGTGGTAAACTATGAAGAGTATCTTCCTTCTTTTACCATAGTATTTTGAATATAGCAGTTACAAAGATTGCAAAAAATGAGTTTCTAACTCAGGGTCTTCTAATGTGAACTGTGACGCTGTGGGTTAGACATTCTCTCTAATTCAACCTACTATAGGCACAGTACCCAAATCCCTCCTGTTCGCTTAGCCCTGGGGCAACTCTGCAATGGACCAGAGTACTATCCAGAGTACTGTCTCAGTCAGTTTCATTGCAGAGACTGGGATCAACTGGAGGTTGATCTCCTAAGCTCAAGTATGGAAATTACTCTTTACTATAAGATCTTCAGGACTAAGGTTTTCCAGTACTAGACGTGTTATTCTAATACAGCCATGAAAGACAGAAGCACCTCAGATCTGCATTTCTGTTTAGTTCATATAGAAGTGTTTAATGAGAAATATAAAACTGATTTTTCAATCGGCAAAAAGAGATCTGTCACACACTTGAGACTCCTTCTGAATGCATGCTTTGTTTGATTTTATATTTTTTATTCTCTGAGAGCTGCTTTATTCAGGCCTTCATGACAGTCTGATAAAATGTTTCACGATGCATAGTCACTTCTTTTGAAGCATTTAATGAACTCAACTAAACCACAGACATTTTATTTCAAGAGAAAATAAACTGAGTTAGGCAGATTTTTTTTGGTACACTGAAGTACTAATATTTATGGATTTCAAGGTTCATTTCCTTGAAGACGCTGCTCTCTGCACACTGTCATTGTGAATGTGTTAATTGCAGAAGGCACTGAAGAGAGCAGGCAGTTCACACTACCTCACCAAATAACACCAAATAATAAATCTTCATAAGACCTGAAGTGAAGAGGTTCAAATGTTTTATCCTTGAGTGAAATCTGAAATTTGTTCCATACTGAGACACTTAACTTTTTATATTTTATGTTAAAAGGGAACATAAATAAATAAACAAACAAACAAACAAACAACATGGAAGAATTAAGATCCCAGAATGAATAGTCATAAGGCAGAAAGAAACATGTTGGTGTTGACTCCAAATTATTCACAGATTTTTTTCAGCCTTTATTTGATGTGATTGCTGTCATCTGCATTTTACAGACATCATTCATTTTTAACTTTAAACAAATCATCCATTCTGTCATATTCGCTGCTTGGGTGGAACTAACCAGCAGCTGTGAGACACAAAGTGAACTCACGTGCTGGGCGAGAGAGGGAAACGGAACAGAGCAGCTGCAGGCAGATGATGGGCGTGCAAGCCAGCGTTGTGTAGGCAAACTCAGTCCTGGGCCGTAGGCAGGGGCACTGTTAAGTTTGTAGCCGAGTAGAACACAGAGGTAGAACAAAACAAAAGTTGAGGCAGGCAAGCTGAGTTTGTAATCGAAAGAGCACTGTAGTCAAACATGAAGGGGTAATCCAAAGTCGAGGTTGGAACAAAGTGGGGTCGAAAGTCCAAGAGAAAACAAACTTAATGCTGGTATCAGAATAGATCTTAAACATCCTGAACCACCTGAGGCGGGCGTGGATGTATATTGCCAGTGGGTGGTACAGGTTTCCTGTCTATGTATCCTTGGCAACTAGCACTGACTGACAGGTGAGTGGATGCATGAATGGATGCCATGGCAACCCTAGCTTGCTCCACAGCTCCACTGGGTTCATTCTGCTACTTCTGGTCAGATTCTCCCCCAGCACCTCCCACAAGGCATCTCGAAGGACACAATGTGTAGAATACCACAGCTATGCTGTACACTAACCCTACCAGCCATCCTAATGAGGTCTAACAGCTGGAGAATGGATACAGGATTGACATTAAGACATGCAACCAGCTGATTTGACATTCCAGAACTTACCACCCCATCTTGTTGTTCTTCTTTGCAATCATCAGTCATGGTACCTTGCAGATGGATAGTAGAGCTCATTAACGTGTTGTTGCAGGACTAGGTTATGCACAGCGCGAACGCTTCGTGACGTCCTCACACCAAATCACATTCCACAAAATATGTGCACTGTTGTGCACTGTTGCATTTTTTTGATAGGTTTCATGAATTTTATTATCTCTTAAAAGGTTTCATGCATTGATATTGTTTCTTGGTGGATTCCTCGTGACCAGTTTTAATTTTTCTCCACTGCAAACACGGCAGTTACTCCTAAATCTACCCGTCATCTTGACCCGAACACTAACCCGAATGTGTGCATTGTGTTACATACAGTAGCATCACCAGATATTTGCGCTGCCCCTAGCAAAGAAATGATGTTTCCTCAGGAGATTTCTGTGAAATGTTTATTAAAAAGCACATATTGTCATCGTGTTTAGTCATGTCAGATCTGTTTTTTCAGTAAAGAACTCAAGTTTAAATGGAAACAGAACACTGTAGTTTGTATATGCAGTCCTATTGTATACATGTGTATTTGCACCTATAACCTGAGCTCTTAAGTTTGACCCTGGCAAAACATTAGCTCTGTCTAAAGTCTTCAGTGCGTGGCTTAAATTTTTCTTCACACTGACAAACAGCCTGATATGCCAAACAGGAAGAGTATAGGTGGAAGATCTAAATTGTTTTGTAGATTGAGAATTTGTTTGGAACTACAGCTGAGAGGAAGGAGAGAAACATTTGAAGCTGTTGGCAGGTCAGGGGTATGAATGCTGATAGAAAGGATAGGACAGAGGTAGCTGAAAAGCATTTTGTTTTCAACTTGGAAGGCAAAATAATTCCATTAATGCTGTAATTCCTCTTCACAGGTGAGGAGGAATGTCTGGAGTACCACGAAGTACATGGAGCTTTTTATTGTTGCTGATAATATGCTGGTAAGCACACTGTTTTTTGCTAGAACAGAATGACTGATTTTCCTCTTAATATTCAGGTCAAATCATGTGTTTCAAATCATATCAAATCAAATCAAATCAGGGTCAAATCATGTGTTTTTACACTTTTTACACACTTCTGGTGTGTATTGATGAGTCGATGTGATCTTCACTTGATTGAAAGTAAAAAAATCATTTCTACCTAAGAGATCAACTTTTACATAGGTTGTCCATTTGAAAAATTATTAATTCTTATTAATTAATTCTTATTAATTAATTGGTTTATTAGAAAAGTTTCACTTTGGTGAAAACAAACTCAATGGTTGTATTTAGACCTTACTTTATGAAAAGATTAAAATATGTTGTAATTCAACATAAAATGCAACAGAATATGCAGATTTTCAAGGCTGTGATGGATCCATCTCCCATAGTCAGATAAGTGTAGTCATTATGTCTTAAGTCTAAGAGAGTGGATGAACAGATTCTGCAAAGAATATTTCTTAACACAAGAACTTGCACTTTTAATTGATAATTGTTTGTTTGTTGAATTTACATTTATCACCTAAGCAGTTATTAAAAGAACTCTGTTTGCACTGTTTATAATGTCATATTCTTATGAATTCATCTTATTTTGATTTAGTATAAAAGGCAAAACAGTGACCTTCACAAAACAAAGCAGAGGATAATGGAAATTGCCAACTATGTTGATAAGGTAAGGAATGAGTATGATTCCTCTGAGTCACTCATATTATTTTAAGAAATGTATAACTTTTTTTCCCGCTCTGTAATTTTTCATTTCACCTCAGCATGTATCTTTTTAATAATTGGCTTCCAATAATGAAGCCAGCGGTATCTGTGTTTCTCGCATTACTTTCCTGTGCACACTTGCACTTTTTGGAGCCATAGGTGGAGAAACAGTTAGCGAGGGCCTGGGTCACTTCACAACCTCCTGTCAGTGGTCATCATGCGTGAGTCCATGTTGCGCTGTAGGCAAGAGGGATGTGTAGCAAATAGTTATTTGAGAATAGAGTGTTAAAGGCTAAAATGACAGTATGTGGTTCAAAGTCTTGAACTATGATCTGTGACCTGTAGAACTTTGAGACGCTGTGTCTGTGTGAGGACAGTTTTACAGGTCCCTCAACATCCGGGTGCCTCTCATTGGTCTGGAAGTATGGACAGAGAGGGACCAGTGCTTGGTGAGTGATGAGCCCAACGCCACTCTCTGGTCCTTCCTTCAGTGGAGACAGAAGCTCAAGTCACGCAGGAAACATGACAATGCACAGCTCCTCACGTAAGTCTCCAGGTTCACCACCAGCTTCTTCCTGTCAGCCCATAGCTTATACCTGTCTGCTGATCTGTATCTAAACAATTCCCAATGAGCACCACTGTCTTCAACACTGTCATTTCCCAACACTCCCCAGTTCACGGTGTTCTGCAGGAAGGAGCTACAATCCTGGGGTTTGAGCTTACTGATCCCTATCAGTTTTTTTTCCTCAGTTCAGGCTGTAGTAACTTTGGCTTCATTCCAAAAACAGCATTTGCTGTAGCTCTCTATGTGCACAGCACTCCCTGTATTATAGTACACTTCAGATATAGCATGGGCATTGTGATCAGTGTTTGGAAAAATTACTTGTAAAATGTAATTGATTACAGGTATACTGTAAGTTATCTGTGTAAGGGATTTACATTTTAAAACTAAAGGTTGGGGGAAATAATTCTAGTAATTTATGTGGTCAGTATAGCATGTGTACAGTTAGTAAAGTAATAATTACATAAAATAGTTTTTTTCCCAACTTCTTATTAATGTAATAAATAATGACCTACGCACCTAACTTGTCACTTTAATTGATTATGTTAAGCCTGGGTGAGCCAGAGCTCACAGCCCTTGGATTAATCGGAAAACCAATTACTGTAAGTTCCCACAAGGAGACGCATTCCGCCTGGGGCTCACTCGGGCCGTTTGTCCCGGTTCTCTACGACCAATCAAGGGGTACTTAGGCCATGAATCCCAGTTCCACTTAAACCCCGCCACCGATCCTGTGCTCTGTCATTGAGCAGCCTTCAGACTAAGGTAGTGTGCTCTGCAGCAGTAACCTGCATCACCGAAGGATACGCTGCCTGAATCCGCCCAAAGCTCCTCCTCGTTAGTCCTGAACTGGTTCTGCCTACCAGCAACCCGTCCCCTGCTCATCCGCGGACCAGTGGCACAGTTATGTCCCAGAATCCCGTGCGGTGGCACAGCCCCCCTGTCTGCTTCTGCTCCGCACTTACAGTTCACCCCAGAATGCTTTGGGGCGCAATCAATACCAGATATTGAAGTTCAACGCTCCTACTTTTTGTATTTTCAAACCTCTGGGAGTGGACCCCCACAAAGGTGTGACTTGTTCTTTTTTAGGGGTGTCATATTTAAGGGTACGACCATTGGCATGGCTCCACTGGAGGGCATGTGCAGCCATGAGAACTCAGGAGGCATCAACGTGGTAGGTGTCAGAGATCTGAATACCTAGGTAATGTGCGGTAGCGGTTTTTGTCTTTACCAACAGTCCAAACATGCAGGAAGCGGGTTTATTCCCTGCTGAAAAGAAAAGAAAGGAAACACAATGTTTCGGCTGAAGAAGGCTCCTTTCTTTTCTTTTCAGCAGGGAATAAACCCACTACCTGTTCGTTTGCAGCCTACGCATGTTGACGCAGCTCCCTACTTGAACTACTGCAGTCCAAATATACTTCAACTGTTTGAAGAGAAAAGTGAAGTGGCAAAATGTGCTTTTTTGTATTTGAAAGTTGAATCCATTCCTGGACTTGTGTGAAATGAGAATGGTGTGGTTTGCATTGAGTAGAAATTGCACTTTAAGTAGACATTGAAATAAATAAAAAATAAGAAATTGCACTTTAAGTAATGGTTAAGAAGAAGTTGTGCAGAAATTGAAGAGCTGAGAGTATAGTGGTGAAGAGCCCCTGACCACAAGTCGCAGATACTCCAGTGAGAAAAGCAGCTTTTTTAAGACTGAAGGCATTTAAGCTAAAAGGTCATTTAGTAAAAAGACAGCAGTTATTAGAACCTTTCTGAGACCAAGAAAGCCGAATACAGCAGAAGAATATCAATGCGGAGTGCAGCCGAAGTGGCTCCTCCTGTCTCAGCCCTCAGCCGGACGAGACGAGCAGCTCTTGACGATGACCTCGATTTCAGGACCACTCGGACCTGCCCATCGGAGCCGCGGCCACGATGGCCCACGAGATCGGGCACAACTTCGGCATGAGCCACGACAACGACGGCTGCTGCGTGGAGGCCACGCCGGAGCAGGGCGGCTGCGTCATGGCGGCCGCCACGGGGTGAGATCCGCGCCCGCTTCCCGGTGCATTCCCGCCCTGGAGCCGGCACGGCTGCTGGCTGCGCTCACAGCGGGCCGCAGTGTCAAGCACAGTACCTAATCGGGGCGGTGTCTGCAAGCAGATGCCTGGCTCTGCTCCGGCCAGAGCTTTGGAATTTTCTTTTTCGCCCACCCCCCTCCCTGCGGCTGCTCCGAGGAAAGTTAAGAAGCTGTTCCCTGTTCCCCCCAGGCACCCTTTCCCCCGCGTGTTCAGCGGCTGCAGCAGGAGGGATCTGGACAACTACTTCAGGAAGGGAGGGGGGATGTGCCTCTTCAACATGCCCAACATGAAGGACCTGGTGGGCGGCCGGCGCTGTGGCAATGGCTTCGTGGAGGAGGGAGAGGAGTGTGACTGCGGAGAACCAGAGGTGACCGGACCAGCACTCCTGCCCACTGCACCACCCAGCATGTGTGGCTCAACCTGGTTAAAGTCACAAGCAGCAGCTGAAGTTCCTTTCCTGGTTAAAAAAAAAACACTTTTGCTTGGAAGGGCATCTTGGGTATTGACAATACTGACCTTGCAACAGCCATTACAACACGTTGAAAGATTTCTTTGGCAGTATAAGAGAGCTACCTTTTATTTTCAGTGGGGTCTTATTATTTCTTACTTTATGAAGAAAATCACCTTTTGTGTGGGCCAAAAGTTTTATACGTGATCCATCGAGGTACAAGAACACCCAGTGATAATGATTGAGATTATTTCCTGATGGCTGAAATGCTGAAATGAGAATCTGTTTATAACCTCAATTTTCCATAAAGTAGGAACAAGTAAATGTTTATTCCCTGCTGAAAGGAGAAGAAAAGAAACACAATGTTTCGGCTGTGGAGCCCAGTAGTCAATGTTCAGAGCATAAATAAAGAGAGGCAGAGAGAGAGAGACGCAATTAAATACACTACCTGTGTTTCTTAAAACATGTTGATGTTCATCAAAGTGGCAGATTTCGGTTTTTAAACTGTTTTCTTTTCCAGGAATGTTCCAACTCCTGCTGTAACGCTAACAACTGCACCTTGAAGGGAGATGCCCAGTGTGCTCACGGAGTGTGCTGTGAGGGCTGCAAGGTACTGTACTTTTATCCCAATTCTTAGTTTCTTTTCATTCTTATCTTCTGCCTACTCTGTTTTTATGCTGTTTCCATAGTTCTTCTTTTCGCACTCCTGGGCTAGCTTTCTCTTGAGCCCTCATGGAATTCACAAAAATAATACCCTAGCTGAATACCTTGTATTCATCTGGAAATACAGTATAAAATAGGAGGAAATATGATTCCTTTTGCTCCTCAGTGGGACCTAAAGTACTGCTACAGTGTGTGCACATTCCAGGATTTTCCTGAAGTACTAGGCTACAAGCGACAAGAGTAGCATTTAATACCGGGATTATTTGAGTTATGAGTTACTGCTGATCTATAGAATATCTTCAGGACATTTAAAGTACTGAAGCTCTGAAAAACCACATCCCTAACGAACTTTAGACCTGCAAAAAATAAAAGAGTTGCCCATTAAACAAACAGTAGCATTTATGGTGAACCTGAGGGTTCAGTCCAAACGATAATAACAATTTTGGAGGGTTCTTGAGAGCTGGAGTTCAGACCTCTGTGCATCAAATGAAGTGGGGCTGTAATTTGCCTTCATCATTGTCAGCTGCGCTGTATTCGCAGCGAGGCTGCAATTTGCCTTTGTTTCTAAGCGACAAGTGGAAGACAGTGTTCCATGAAGGTAAGATGCTGAAAGTGAGCTCTCTTGCCAGAATGCTATTGTGTTGACACTGGGCACATCCTGCGATAAGAGAGCCTGTTCTGCTCTGTTTAGAAGCAGATAGAATAGGCAGGGAAGAGAGGAAAACAAGTGCAGAGTTGATACTACGGATACTGTGTCAGAATAACAGGGAAGGCACTAGAGAAAGCAAGAAAGGGAGGCCAGTTTTGTGAATTCTTGTGTAGGAATAACATAAAATCATTAAATATTTTCATTGTTCAGTACCTCTTTACAATGAACATAGTTATTGATACCTTTTTGTGTTGCATTTGAACCTACCTACAGTATGCCTTTTATTTTTTTATGTTTTACTCTTCCATAAGGAAAAAAATGGGAAGATTCTCAAGTGCTTTTTACCATCAAACATCTCACAGGTCTCTGGACAGCTGTGCCCATGGTTAATTCCAGTGGCCCCTTAACATATAAACCATGCTCAGCAACCCAGAAATGAATTATTATCTGGGTTTAAAAGATTTAAGAGTCTGTCATATCATGTCTTTCTGATTAATGGATTTAAATGCAATCTACATTTTTTTGTAAGTATTAAAAAGTGTGTTTAGACTTACTTTAGGGTACATCTAATTGTCTTGTAGAGTGAAAATTGTTTTGTACCAGTTCCAGCAAAACACATGCAGATGGATGTTAAGTGGTATAGAATTATGTTTTGTTGTGTACTATTCTGCAAATGTCAATGTGATTACAAACAATTGTGTGGAGATTACAGCTTAGCCGTTTGGCACCATGAAGCCTAATTGAGGGAGATTTAGAGATAGGTCTGTTCTCTGCGTGGTTACACATTTACCCTGTATTTTAAATTGGTAAAAGTTCATACTGAAGATTTTATATGTGAGGGATTAGTGTATTACCATTACAAAATAATGACATTGTGTAATTACAAAGTAACACGTACCACTCACTTACTGTATCAGGTCCTAACAATGATTTGACTATGCATGCAAATTGTAGCAATTAACAATAATTGCACCCTCTATAGTCACGAAATGCCAAGTGTTACACGTCATGTGTAATCTACAGTACCTTTCTCCAGCACAGCTTGCTATTGTAGTAATAACCAGGTGGAAGACTGAGTACTGTAAGTCAACACAACTCGTTTGCACTACTCTATACATATCTTTACAAGACTGAAGGTACCTGAACCCTGCTTCTGCAGACATAGAAAACACAGAATTCTAACTGATTGCTGTGGATGAGCTCAGGTCCCTCGGCTGATGCTGTACCCCTTCCCGTTCCCTGGCAGCTGAGAAGCGCCGGTACGATGTGCCGCGAGCCCGCGGGCGCGTGTGACCTGCCCGAGTACTGCACCGGAGCCTCGCCCTACTGCCCCTCCAACGTCTACCTGCTCGACGGCTCCCTCTGCCAGTACGGCCACGCCTACTGCTACAACGGCATGTGCCTCACCCACGAGCAGCAGTGCCTCCAGCTGTGGGGATACGGTAGGCCGGCGGCTTCAGGCTGGCCTTCGTGCCACAGCTGCACATGTTTCTGCAGCGTCATTAGCGTCGACAGCGTCATGAGCAAGCGCACTTTACCCTTTTAAAAAAAACACCCGTGCTTAAATAGAGCACATTTACATTTATTGCAGCCCTCGGTATATTGCTAAAGCATAAGACATCCTATCTAGGCTATTACAAATGATAGTTACAGCTTTTGCTTTATATTAACAACCCATAACCCATCCTTTACTGAACACATCTGTCCTAGGTTAAATACAGAAATCACTTTAAAAATGAAGTTGCAAATGCCAGTAACTGGAAACAATAATTCCATATGCACCTTCATTTACCTTGTTCTTTAACACTTTAGGAAATTCTAGTTTAACGAATGTGAGAACATTGTGGATAGGAATGTTTTTTTTTTCCTCACAAAACAGCCTTTTGATGCTTTTAGATGGTTACAGTCACAGAGGTTGTATGTACTGTAGGCTGTAGATTTTGCCATTAGCCTAGTTCTGCGGATCCTGTCACAGATCTCGCCATTTTACTCACTGATTTACAGGATTATAAGAAAGGTTACAAACGAGACGAGGCCTTTCAACACATCTGGCCCATTTGGCCAATCCATGAAAGTATTTTTATTCCTGTCATTTTTTTTTCCACTACACAGCTACTTCACCTTTGCAGGGCCCTGAGTATAGATGATGAAACGCTTTGCACCATGTAGAAAACCTAGAAAAAGAAAATCAGGTGAAAAACATGGTTAAAACTTCAAAAACCTCTCACTTGTAAAGAAGGCAGACGGAGCCGTATCCAAGAGTCAGAACTCCCTCAGCGCAGACTCAGGACATGAAAGGAGGTGGATAGAAGAGAGAACCATTTTTTTTCCGAAGCTTGCACCCGTCCTGCTGGAGCTTTTGTGTCTTTCCAGGAAAGCAGGCTGAATGCTGTTCCGCTGTTTGGCTGTCTTTGATCCAGGTGCTGCCCCAGCCCCCGACGCCTGCTTTCAAGATGTGAATGCCGCTGGGAACGCCTTTGGGAACTGTGGGAAGGACAGCCGGGGGAACTACATGAAGTGCGAGAAGAGGCGAGTCTCATAGAAGAAGCGTGTCGTGGCTTTGTTCGGCCCGTTTTCCCCCTCACTCGTTTGTTATCGTTGCCTCCACCCGAGGATACGGAAAAAAAAAAGAAAAGAATCATTTCAGAATCATCCTGTTTTTTCCCCTTCGAGCCCAGGGGGTTTGAGGATGCTGAGCAGCCGAGACCAGAGACCCGCGCCCATGTGCTTCTTCTCTTCTCCTTCTCCCCGCTCAGCGATGCAAAGTGCGGCAAGATTCAGTGCCAGAGCGCCGCCAAGAAGCCGAAGGGGACCAACGCTGTGCCCATCGACACCACCATCCGCGTCAAGGGCAGGGAGGTGAAGTGCCGAGGGACCTTCGTCTACACCACCCAGGAGGGAGAGGGGGACCTGCCGGACCCGGGCCTGGTCCTGACCGGCACCAAGTGTGGCGAGGGCAAGGCAAGCGCCGCGCGGCACGCGTGACGTTCACGGGCTTCATTTCCCTGAGGCGGGCAGAGGTGACCAGGGCACAGGGCAAGAGACCCTCCACCAGAGGGTCACAGGCAAACGCCCGCCTTGGAGACACACCCAGTGCTCCTTCTGCACTGAAGATACGTTCCTGAACTGTCCTCAGATTAAAAAAAAATATATATACTGGGAAAAAGCTCTCTCTCTCTCTCTCAATACATTGTGTACATCAACATTTAAGCCAAATAACAAAAAAAGAATAAAAATAATGATAAAAAAATAAATAAAAAGCACATACCTTCATGGTTATGGGGTACAGTCATCCTCAGGAAGGTATGATGAAATGGGAGAGTTGTCGATGGGTAATGTGGAGTAAAATAGTCTGAATTCAGCCTCAGAGACGGTGAGAGAACCTTCAGGCCACTGAGGGTGTTCTAGAAACTTCAGGAACCCAGCAGTCTTCTAGAACATTCAAGCACCTGAGAGTGTTCCAGAAGCTTTGAGAAGCTCTCAGGTAGGCCTGTCCAGAAACGGTGAACATGCAAAACCATGGAATGAGGAGGAAGGGGTGTACTGTGTTTCTGTTGCTGAGAGAGATTTTAACCTTGAATACTCCAGTCAGTCCAACTGTATAATACTGTAACCCTTTATTTAATGAGCTGTGCCTTTTGAGAACAAAGCCAAGGATGACCTGGCCAAGAGCCTTAAATACTATGGCTCTTAAAAGAATCAGCCCTCTTCAGAAGCTGCTGTGTTTTAAGGAAACATTGGCTCACAGGTTAAATGCTAATCTATGTAGAAGAAGAAACAGATCACACAACATGAGCCACAAGCTTTAGGTTTAATGAAAGGAATGAAAACTGCTTCTTTCAACTGCAGTGAATCTAAGCTTTGCCCACGGGACAGCAGACAGGTCTCAAGCTACTGCTGCCTCTCTCCCGCCAGGTGTGTCATGATCGCCGCTGCCAGAACGCCTCTTTCTCCGAGCTGGAGCGCTGCATCTCCCAGTGCCACAACCACGGGGTACACGGCCGCCACTGCGCGCGAGTCCACCCCCAGACACGCCCACCCACAGCATGCCCACTCTGCATGCAGCCCGTTTTAAATGCGTGTGATTGTGTATTGATTCCTT